CTAGAAGGAATGGTAAGATGAGAAGTTTGCGTTTTTTGCTTCTGACCCAGCTGTGATGACTGGAGCAGTGGCAGTCATCTTGGGAACCATAAGGACCTATCCAGTAAGGATAACTGAAAGAGAGAAAGAAGTTGAGTGTTTGGAGGATTTGTTGTACCAACAAATTGACCAGCCCTGAAATTGCTTAATTTCCAGACTCTTTTTTTACATGAGAGACTAAATATCCTTATAATTTAAACCATTTTTTCAATAAGTATTTAGTTCACAGTTAGGCATTCTTATAGCTGCAAGGAACACAGCAGGGAGCAACATAAAAATCCCCCATAGGGCTGACATTCGTGGCAGAGACAGCTGACAGGTGATTAAATGAATGATATGTTAAACATGGGGCTGAAACATTTCACTCTTCCTGGCACTTCTCTCTGCCCAGAAGCTGACCTGAATGGGAAGGCTCCCTTGTCTCATGACTTCCAGCTGAGTTCAGCCAAGGGGTTCCCCAGCAGGAGACCAGAGGGTGGAGAAGAGAGAAGTCAGAGTATTTCTTCCTCTGCTCCCTCCAAACCAGGCAAGGGGTTTGGCAGTGGATGTTCCTTATCAGAAGTCACAGTTCCAGCTCCTATTGAGCTTATATGTCACATGGCTCCACCTCTGAACAGGGTCCAGCAATCCTGCTCCCTGACACTTTACCTCCAACACTCCTTGATCCCCTAATCCTGCCCACACTCCCATCATTCGTCCTTCTTTGATCTCCTCCCTCTCCCAAGGGTGCAGCCTCTTCTGCCCGGACCCTGATAGATGTTGATGGTAAGTGCTACATAGAAAACTAATTCAAGGAGGTTCACAAGTACAGAGGAGAGGAAAAGATTTAAAAGGCAGGCTGGGATAGGTCTCAGTGAGAAAATGACACTTGAATAAAGATAGGAAGGAGTCATAGATATTTGGTGTGTAGGCACATTGCAGGCAGAGGGAGGAGCCTGTGCAAAGGCCCTGAGGTGGGCCTGGGCCTGAATATTCAAGGAATATCAAGGCAAGTGGTGTGAACAGAACAGACATAATGAGAGGAAGAGAGGTGGAAGGTGAGGTCAGTGAAGCAAAAGGACAGAAGCTGTTAGTGCGCTGAAGTCACTATAGGACCCTGTACTTGTGTATTAGGGGCCCCTGCAGGGGTGTGAGCAGAGAAGGGACAGGCACTGCTTGTGTGTTAACAGAATTGCCTGGCTGCTATGTGGGGAGAGCACTGAAGGGCCAGGCAGGAGCAGAGATTCCAGATAGAAGGTGACTGCTTGGACCAGGCAAGAAAAGATGGTGGCCATAGCAGCAGACGTGAGGTGTGGTTGAGTTCTGGGCATTCTCTGAATGTGGAGCAGCCAGCTTGCCAACAGAGCAGTTGTGGATAGAACTGTGAGGTAGAAGGGTTAAAGACGACTTCAAGGTGTTTGGCCCAAGCACCTGGAAAGATGGAGCTGGTGTTGCTGATACTGGCAAGGCGGAGAAACAGGACTAGAAAAAGGATGCCAGGAGCTCCGTTCTATACACTTGAAGTTTGAGGTGTGCGCCAGGCTGTGTTTTGGCAGCCCTTGATGCACCACATCTCCTGGGGTTCACATGTCTGTGCAGTCCCTTCCCCTTGTGCCTGGATTGGGCCAGGGACCTGCTTGAACCCACTGAATGCAGCATAAGTGATAGGGGAGCCTGTTCCTGGCCTGGGTCTTGGGAAGGCCTGACACCTTCTGCTTTTGCACCCTTGGAAGCCAGCTGCCATGTAAGAAGTTGGCCCGCTCCCAGACCACCATGATATGGAGGAGACTGGGCAGCCACATAAAGAGGCTCCCGTGGGGGAAAAGCAGACATGGACAGTCCCAGCTGTGCCCCCAGCCAGCACCGGCACCAAATGCTCACAAGCGTGAGGCATTACACTGTGCGGTTATCCCAGCCGACAGCATGGGAAGCCGAAGAATCATCCAGTTAACATACAGTACCAAGAGAAATAATAAACTGCTCTTTCAGGTCTAAAAAAAAAAAAGAAAGAAAGAAGAAAGATTTGGTGCATTCATTCTCAACTGGAGGCAAATAAATGGGACTAAAATATTACTATTATCACTAATAAACTCTAGGCTAGAGAATGTAGCTTAGGAGTAAAAGACAAACAGGCTTCCAAGCTGGATGCTGTTTGGGCCGACTTACTTGTCCTGTCACAGACGCCCAGACGGGGGCAGGACTTCACTACGCTAGGGAGAAGATTCCTCCCCTAGACAAGCATCAGAGAATGCCAGCCCTCTGTGGGGAGCTACCTCCCATCCGGAAGTGATGAGAGTCTGAGGTGAACATATAGATTACTTCCAAATTTATCAGTCAGATCAATTACACTGTCTCCTCTGGTGCAGAGTGAGGAAAAGGGCAGAAAATGGTCCTGAGTTTTACTAATTGAGCTCCATTCACAAAGTAAAAAACATCACGAGTGGGAAAGACGCTCCCCCCTCCCCCCTCCCCTACTGCTATAGATCGTCGTTCTTCCCTTGTCAGTTTTATCTACTACCTGTGCTATCCAATACAATAGCTACTAGCCGTGTGTATTAAAACTTAATTTAAGTTAAATACATTTAAAAATTCAGTTTCTCAGTCACGCTGGCCACATTTCAACTGTTCTGTAGCCACATGTGGCTAGTGGCTCCTATATCAGACAGTGCAGGTTTACATTAACACTGTCAAGGAAGGCTCTACGTGACAGTGCTAACGTGAGATTTTTATCTTTTTCATCTTGTATCATCAGTGCCTGTAACCAGGCCTGACTCACTTAGAAATGTTTCTTGAATGAATATATGAAAATAGACTATTGTGATTTTGTTTTTCAAACCTGCTTCCCACTGTTGCATTCTAAGCAACAAGATATGAAAATGGAACACAGATATTTTTTTAAATAAGTCGGTTGAAGAATATGCATCATTTGATCTTATTTTTATTTAGAAATAATTGTTTGTATGCACATATATATGTTTAAAAGCACAGGAAAAAGTCTTGAAAGATACATACCAGACTGCATTTACCATCTAATGGTTGAGATTGGGAAAGGGAAATGAGGAACTTTTTTACTTAAAAAACTTGTTATTAGGAAAATATATTACTTTAGAGTAAAAAAAAAAAGTAACATTAGGTAGTATGTTAATTTTCTTGGTATATTAAGAAAATCATGGCTATTCTTTCTTTTTAACATCTTTATTGGAGTATAATTGCTTTACAATGTTGTGTTAGTTTCTGCTGTATAACAAAGTGAATCAGCTATACATATACATATATCCCCATATCCCCTCCCTCTTGTGCCTCCCTCCCCCCCTCCCTATCCCACCTCTCTATGTGGTCACAAGGCACTGAGCTGATCTCCCTGTGCTATACAGCTGCTTCCCACTAGCTATCTATTTTACATTTGGTAGTGTATATATGTCAATGCCACTGTCTCACTTCATCCCAGTTTACCCTTCCCCTCCCCGTGTCCTCAAGTCCATTCTCTATGTCTGTATCTTTATTCCTGTCCTGCCCGTAGGTTCATCAGAGCCATTTATTTTTTAGATTCCATATATGTGTGTTAGCATATGGTATTTGTTTTTCTCTTTCTGACTTAACTTCACTCTGTATGACAGACTCTAGGTCCATCCACCTCACTACAAATAACTCAATTCATTTCTTTTTATGGCTGAGTAATATTCCATTGTATATATGTGCCACATCATCTTTATCCATTCATCTGTCGTTGGACACTTAGGTTGCTTCCATGTCCTGGCTATTGTAAATAGAGCTGCAGTGAACATTGTGGTACATGTCTCTTTTTGAATTATGGTTTTCTCAGGGTATATGCCCAGTAGTGGGATTGCTGGGTCGTATGGAAGTTCTATTTTTAGTTTTTTAAGGAACCTCCATACTGTTCTCCATAGTGGCTGTATCAATTTACATTCCCAGAAAATCATGGCTATTCTTAATATGAAATATTAATGAAAGGTAATTTTAAGAGTGAATAAAGTATTAAGAGTGTTGAGGTATAATGACAAATCACAGCCATTGGCCTGGTGAGTATTGTTTGCAAACCATGGAATCTGTTTCCTAAGGAGTGTACAGAGTAATGTTTTCTTTCCCAAAACATGGCTTCCTTGCTAAACTGCCGAGAAAGATAGGGCCAGATGGCACAGTTCTCATTTTTCTGTTATACCTCCTGACCCAGCAATATACTTTCTCCCACCTCACCTTATAGAAATTACTTTTGTTCATTGCAGGAGCAGCCTTTACCCTGGGAATGTACCTAGTCACTGTGCCCGAATCAGAATACTGACACACTGACTGTGATCATCTTCTTGCTTTACTTTGCCTTACTTTGCCCCTTGTTTGGTGGTTTATGAGCTCACAGATGCTGGACCAGAATTCAGTACATAAAATAAAGACATTCTGTTTGACAAGGCCAAACCTAAATTGCTGAAGCAGGACATTAAAGCCTGAAGCAGTGCCTTAAAAAGGAACTAGTGCCATCTAACCCACACCAAAAGTCAACTTAGTTTCAAAATGAAGATCTTTAGAAATGCTACATGCCATAGCACTTTCTCAGCCTTTTTTTTTTTTTTCTGTCACTACAGGAATACTAAAACCGAATGAGAATGGCAGATAATACAGAAAGACATGTTTAATGATCAGTTCTGCTGTTTTATTTCATGCTCAGTTGATGGGAGAAAAGAATATTTTCATCCAGCTATTAAAATGAATGAATTTAAAGATATGAATATAATCACCCAGAAAAATGGCACTAACAAAATAGTTTTTAAAGTGAGGAGGATAGATTTCTTTGTAATTATTGTGTTCACTGACTATTATTCATTTTTAAATAATGATGGATTCTAAGCTCGGGTACACCACCATGAGGGTGATTCCATCCCTTAGGAGCTAATATTTGAAGAGGTTGAGCTGTTTAGTAAATTACTTCTTTCTTAATGTTTCTTTCTGTTACTGTTTCTGTTTTTTAGACCCACTATGAAAATGGGGAATATATCATCAGGCAAGGTGCAAGAGGGGACACCTTCTTTATCATCAGCAAAGGAAAGGTAAGCCCTGGTAGCATGAGAGGGAGATGCACAAGGGGAGCCTGGGGTTCGTCAGCTACCCGTGGAGGAGCACGTGTGCAGGGTGTTGAGCTGTTTGAGGTTTTTTCTTTTCTGAAACTGATAAAGAAATATTTGAGAATGTATCTCCTGAAAATGTGGAAGAAGAAAGAAAAAGTATAACTTTGAAGACCAGTGAACAGCCTTTGTTCTAGAGTATAATAATCATGATGCTAGATGCCACTGGCATGTCTGCATAAATGGAAAATTTTCCATAATAATTAAAAAAGAGGAGACTAAGGTTGCTTAAAAAATCTTTAACAGAAAAAATAATCCATCCAGTCATTAGGAGCAGTAATATTGTAATAATTAAATATCTGGACTTTCAAATCAGATGGCCGAAGTTTGAATCCAGCTATGAAACTTCCTAGTTTTAGTACTCCCTAGGCGAGTTATTTAACACTCTGAGGCCAATCAGGAAGTAAATATATTCATGTTTCATTGTATCTTCATAAATAAATATTTAATGGATACTAAGAAATTATTAGAAGTGGTTAAGTATAGGGGAAGGGGTAAATATAGGGTAGACAGGGACATAAATAAAAAATCATAATTTATTCCTTACATATTTTTAAAAAGTTTAATATTATAAATAATAATTTTAAAAAAACCGAATATGAAATTGAGAGAATTGGAAAATGAAGACATGTAGATTAATACTTTAATATTATATTGCTAAAAATACCTTAAATTCCTTTCAACAGTAAAGTCTTAATCATTTTTGCATTTAAGTGTCATTTCACTGCGTGCAATGTATTTGAACTTATTTTGCTTTACAGTAAGTGATCCTTAAAAAGAAGTTATAAGTACTAAGTAAAGTAAAACACTAGGAAGGAAATGCAGGTACAAGGGGATTTATATGGCAGTTTTCACTTTTATAATTATCACTTTGAAAAAATAAGTAAATTTATTTCTTCTAATTTAACAAATATGACTGACTTTATGGCTCATGTAAAATAGGCAAGGGAGATTAACAGAGCCACAGTGAACAGGATATGTTGAAAGATTATAGATTTTGTTGGATCACATTTTAGAGAATTCTCTTTGGACTAATTGTGAGTTTTAAATGTGCATATGTCAATGTTTACACTGGTGGCATATCCCACTAAAGGGAAGAAAATAATATTTATACTTTTTCATACCTGTTCTTTTGACTGATATCAGAAAACCTGGGATAGAAATAGAAGTCAAGGGACTGGCTTCCTAAAAAGCAACATGAAATGACATCTGACCACAGTTATGGATAAAATTACACCTTGTATTTTCCAATGTTAGAGGATAAGAAATGTTAAGATTTTGAGGTTTATATATAAATTGTTAGAGCTTACCATTTATTGCTTTGTTCTTAATATCGACGGAAGAATCAGGGAAAACTGAAAATCCTAATGGATGTAAATTATTTGATTGGTCACAGGGGGGCTTTTTGCCCTGGCAATTCTAGATTTATTTTTTTATATTTTATTGCTAATTCTTTGCTCTCATGGAATGATATGTTTATCGATTAAGATGAATTTCTGACAGGCTTTTGTGGCTACCAAACTACTGCAAATTCCAGCACTGCCTAAAAGGTTGTGGTTTGTAACCAGTTTCAGCTGAACACAGGAGCATTAGTGGTGCTATTTTATGAGTTTTGTAATATGTATACATAGAAATAGCATGGATATTACACCAGAGGAACTGATTCCCTTGGCAGTATTTCAGACCACTGTAGGAATTCTGGGAGAGAAGCAGTAAGAATATATTGGAATTTTTTGACACATCCAAGATTTTTTTTTTTTTAAACCAGGCATAGATTTTTCCTAACCTTCTTTTTCAGGTCATACAACTTAGCTGCCATGATTCTTAATTATACTAATTATATAATAATATATGATTGATTTAGTATGTTAATTATATGAATTCTAATATTAATGTATTGGAGTTACTATATTAAGTTTTAAGAAGCAGAAGGTGAACACACTTAAGTCCCAATAGGAAGGAATAGAAAATGATAAGAGAATGAGAGTAGGTTCAGGTGAGCAGGCAAATAAGTTGTAGAATTGAAATTTTCTAAAATTATGTGTGTTGTTTTAGGTGTACAGATGTCACCTTGTTTTCATGTACATTTAAGAATTTATAAAGGATAACTCTGACAAAGATATTTTCTTTGTTACCACCAACCTGGCTTTTCCTTAGAAAATGTGAGACAGAGACACACAACAGGGGCTGTACAACTACAGGTGGATTTCCCCTTGTTCAAGTTCATTTATTTAAGAGTAAAACAGTTTTTATTTTTCTATAAAGCACATTCACACAAAGAGAAAAGCATTATAAAATAAACTTGGAAATATTTGTTTTTTCCCCATTAAACCTATACAAACTGATTTTTCTAAAACTTGGGCAGAATGCTTCAGTGATGTCTAGAGTACCTAGTTCTGCCTCAGGTAGAAGCTGAGTTAGTTCTTTATACTTTAATCAGTCCATTCCAATTGCCTGGAAACCTGACTTGTTCCCCCCAACAGTGAACCATAAAGCACTCAAGGATTCATAATTAAGCATGAAAAATATCTCTGATAAAACTTTATGCCTATGTCCCTCTAGTTGTGTTGCATCAAAAAAAAAAATGTCTCCATAAATAAGTGGAACCAAAATTGAACAGGATTGGTCAACAAAATTTCAGAGTTTCAATAATAATTCAAAGGCATTTTGATTTTCTGATTCTATTCAACTTATCTTGTATGCTACCATTAGAAAAAAATATTTCAAAAATTCTTGTTCATTAAATTCCACTTAAAACCACATGGCTTTGCTTAGAATTCACAAGGGGTTAAGCATGTTGGTTAAACAAATGGGCTTAACACAATATTCAGTGTTGCTGAATATGGGAAGTACGCTCTTATGGAAATTTTGTTTGTGTGTGACATTATATATATATATATATATATATATATATATAAAATATCAGAGTGAAACATGAATCATTTCATTTCAAGAACGAACATGCACATTATCCCCACTTCTGTTCACTGTGTAACTAAACACCCCAACCATTGCAGTCAGTCAAGAAAAAGATATAATGTTTGGAAATGAAGAAATAAACAGTAATTATTTACAGGTGGTATGATTTTAGTTTGAGCTTTTTATGTAGACAGATAAATTATTAAAATTAATATAAGCTTAGCTGGATCAGCATTGTTCAGTACTTTTTCCTCTGTTGATGGAACTATTCTATATCTTCACAACCTAACATGGTAGCCATTAGTCTCAAGTCACTAAATTAAAATTAACTAAATTAAATAAAACAAAATATTCAGCTTCTCAGTAGCCACATCCTGTCAGAATGGCTATTATCAAAATGTCTACAAATAACAAATGCTCGCAAGGAGAAAAGGGAACCCTTGCACACTGTTGGTTGGAGTGTAAATTGGTGCAACCACTGTGGAAAACAGTATGGAGGTTCAAAAAACTAAAAATAGAACTACCATATGAAAGCAGTTCTACTCCTGGGTATATATCCAAAAAAAACCAAAACTTTAATTCACAAAGATATATGCACACCAATGTTCATAGCAGAATTACTTATAATTGCCGAGACATGTAAACAACCTAAGCGTTCATCAACAGATGAATGGATAAAGAAGATGTATTGTGTGTGTATATATATATTTATGTACACACACACACACAATGGAATACTACTCAGCCATAAAAAAGAATGAAATTTTGCCATAAGTCAGACAGAGAAAGATAAATACTGTATGATATCATATGTGGAATCTAAAAAATACAACAAGCTAGTGAATGTAACAAAAAAGAAGCAGACTCACAGATACAGAGAACAAGCTAGTAGTTACAAGTCGGGGGTGGGCATTGTAGGGGAGGGGGAGTGGGAGGTACAAACCATTGGGTGTAAGATAGACTGAAGGATGTATTGTACAACACAGGGAATATAGCCAGTATTTTGTAATAACTGTAAATGGAAAGTAACCTTTAAAAATTGTATAAGAAATTTTTAAATGATAAAAAAGGACACTAGAATGAAGAGCAAAAGACAAAAATGGCTAAAACATTTGAAAGGAAGAAGAGTATATTGGTGAGAATTACTTCAGTAGATATAAAGATTTATTATAAGGTAAAGAAGAAAATGTCTTAATTCTACTAAGAACTAGATAAATATATCAGAATAAGAGAATAGTGAGCTCAAATAAAGGTCCAAGATCTATGGGAACTGGAGTTAGGAGAGCATGGGCAATACATATTCCAAAACAATTAGTTATCCATAGGGAGATATATGAAATTGGATCCTGACCTCACACTGTACAAATAAGGTCAATTCCAGACCTAAATGCAAAAGAAAAAATTAGAAAAAAAATCAAAAGACAATTAGGAGAATACTTCTGTCATGTTGGGATAGGAAAAATTTTATTAAATGAGAATTTTAAAGTACAAACAATAAGCGATAATGTGGTTACATATGATTACATCGAAATTAAAAGCTTTGGCAAGACATCATAAATACAGTCAAAAGCTAAACTACCGTCTTATGAATCAATAAAAAAAATTAATTCAATAGAAAAATAGGCAAAAAAATCACAAAAAAGAAATACAACTTGCCCATAAAATAATATGAAAAATACCCTACTTTTATTAATAATCAGAGAAATGCCATATAATATTGACCTTTTTGGGGCAAAAAATCAAAGTCTGACAATATCAAGTGTTGATGACAATATAGTATAATATGAACTTTCATCCACCGATGGTAGAAATATAACTTGGTGTGACATCTTTGTACCAAGACTGAGTCAATACCTAGTAAAATTGAAGATGCGTATACTTTATAACCTTGGTTTTTATTTGTAAGTTTTGATCCTAGTGAAACACCCATGGACACCACAAAACATGCAAAAATGTTCATAAGTAATGTTAATAGTGCAACAGACTAGTATATAACAACAATAAACCTGGAGGAAGCCCACATTTACATATAGAGAAGAATCAATGAACTATATAATATTCATATAATGGCATATTATACAAACAGGAAATGAACTACAGCTATTAACATGGATGAACTGGATAAATCTCAAATACAATGCTGATCAAAAGAAACAAGTTGAAGGATACGTGTGGTGTGATATTATTTATATAAAGTTTAAAACCAGGAAAATATATGGTATTTATGCATGGAATGAGGTGCATGTGAGTGCACGTACACACACTCATTAAAGTAGAAGTACCAGAAAGAGAATCACGAACATAAGATTCACCAGAGATGTTTTGGGGGACGGGAGTGGACACATGGTGAGAGAGATTCTAATTCATTCCTGTGTTGCACAAAAGGTTCAGTTGTCAAACCAGACTCAGGGGAGTCATAGGTCTGAACCACCCTGAATTTAAGTAATGACTAAAGGAATGCAGGCAAACATCAAGCTCAGAAAAATATTCTTTCCCTGTACATGCCCCAAACTATCAGATACAGCTCCTAAAAGTGTTTTTCTGCATTAGGGAACATTTGTGTTTTTTTTTTTTTTTTTGGAATAACAGGGCAATTTTTGAGCAATGTGTGTAGAACATTGTTTGAAAAGGGAGATGCTTTGATTTGGAAACTCCTCATTTTTATAATCTATTACACAGGTAGGAAAATGCTCACCTGACAACCCTATTCTCCAGCTGGGTCTGCCCCACAAATCTCTGATTTCCATGTTTCTTTACAACAAACATCGCTTTGTTTATAAAACCTGTTGAATCTGTACTAAAACATTTTATTTTGTTTTTGAATTATTTTTGGTTAAACATGTTGGTTGAGCACATTGATATTGTTTATTGAAGATTTTGGTATTAAAGATCAATTTTATGTGTCCCATTTAAAATATCTAATTTCTATTTTGATTCTTAATTTAAAAAATTATGTATATATATATAATTTTAAAAATAGTTCCAAATCTTAAAATCACAATACCATGCATATATTTTATAGAAAAATTAATATATAGAAAGGTAAAAGGATTATAAAAATAAACACCTTCTCTTTTATTTACCTGGAACTAAAAGTAGTTAAAGTTCTAAATAGCATTTTATGTCAACAAGAGCAATGGTAGAGATTTGGGATAATTACAATCAAATGCATGGAATTTCTGAAGTAGGAAGTGAGAGAAATGGAACAAAGGGGAAAATAAGGAAAAAAGAACCAACTTTGGGGGGCACTCAGAATTAAGAGGATGCTTTTCATTGATGTTCTCATTTAATTCACACATAGAGCACAAGTACATCCATATGAGATATCCCTCCCATTTTTCAGGCAAGGTGGTGGGGTAATGGGTTCAAATAGACTAAATATTACCTTTAAGCTCCATAGCTAGTTCCCTTCCACAGCATTGTGGATCATAAAGTACTTTATGGTGTAGGTGAAAAGACTATGTATACAGGTCAAGGTTAGAGAAGCTATATCTGTATATATAACTTTTTCTACCTTGAATTTTCTTTTTTAGAATTAAAGATGCAAATGTCCATGACTGGTGCCGGTGCATATTTAGAATGATTCATTATATATATAAAGAAAAACTGGAAACTACAACTTTAAAGGAGAACTTTTATTTTTGCTCTTTGAGCTGCTTGTTTTTTCACATATATGAACTATAGGAGATAGATTTTTCCTCATATTTATCATATAAGCAGAATGTGATTTATTCCATAGGTGACCCGTTTTTTGTGTCTCTTACTGCATTTCAGTAACATATTTTTTAAGAACATTTCAAAACCCACCCAAATTTCTCCATGGCTTACGTAAATCTGCCATTTTGAGTTTATAATCTTTTTTGTTACCCAAATGGCAAATGTACAGTTATATGTATCCCTATATCTAATTTGAATTAATGAGCTTAACTTATAGTTAAATTAATCATTGACTTTTTTTTTGTCAGCCAGGAGGACTGACAGAAGTAATTTTGTTGAGTTGTCTCATTGTGCAGATAAGAAAACTGAGGTTCAGAAATGAAACAGTGTATCAGTGTTTGTCAAAGGTTGGTCTGTAGAACATTTGCATCTAAATCACCCACATTAATCTTTTGAAATGCAGATTTCCAAAACCCATTCAATCAAAACCTCAGGAATAAGAGTTAAGTAATCTTTATTTTAAACAAGACTGCATGCCCCCTCTCCCCACCACACACACACACACACACACACACACACACACACACACACAGTTTGAGAACCACTGGGCTAGCATATTTCCATTCACATCTGTGAGAGCCTCATCAGTATGCATATGAGTATCTCTCTTATATAGCTCAGTGGTTAAGTGTTAAAAACTGCATTTCCATGCTTTTGAAACACCATGTGGAGGAGTAATCAAATGGGTCAGTGGAGAGTAATAATTGAATTCCCTCCACCTTGCATAGACCTTTTTAATACTTATAAAAATTCTGGTCTTTGACATCCAGTCTCTAAATTCAGAAACCTGAAGCATAGTATTTTTAAATGTGTTTAAGTGTCTGGCATTGTCTCAAGAAATTAGTTTTTCTACTTCATTACATTTTCCAGGTAGGTGAATTTTAACTATTTAAACTTTTTAAATGACACGTAGCCAGTATTATATTTGTAGAACTTTAGGGGAAAGTGAATTAACACAAAGGCAAAGGTACAATTTACTACATTTATGTCTTCATTCAACAAATACATTATTACGTGCTTTCAATGGACTATCATCCAACTCCCAAGTCCTATATGGGCAGAGATATCTTGTTAGTAATGAAGCTCTTCTGTTCATGCAGTTTACTACTCTTTATTGAGTACTTACTATAAATTACAGAGACTATCAAAGAAATGCCCATTTCTTTGAAGAGCATACTATTCATTATGGTAAAATAAAGACACATATGTAATTTATATATCTTCAAAAAAAGAACTCCTGCTGAATGAAACATATGGACCATGAGGACAGTAGTCAGGTAGAGACCTGCAGGAAGTCTTCATGGAAATGTGACTGGCCTTTGAATGAAGGCTGGCTTCTTCTTGGCAAAGAGATAGGCATGTCCTGGTGAAACTGGGATGTACATGTAGAGAGGTGTATAGATAGATGTTAAGTGAAGCCAAAAAATGGAGACAGTATAAACGTCCATCTGCAAGGAAATTGATAAATATAGGATGAAAGAAGACACTAAAACATTAAAATGAATGAACTAGATTTATATATAATAGCATGGAATAAATAAAATAATGATAAGAGAAAAAATGTAAGTTGCAGAATAATTCATACTGTATTATGCTATTCATATATTTTTAAAACACATGCATATAAACACATAAAAAAAGATTGGAGGAACACTACTAAATCCATTATAGTGATTGCCTCATAGAAAGCTGGAAGTGAGAATAGAGTTGAAGATTTGAGTGAAATTCAAATTTCTGAATAATTTATTATTTCTTGACAACAACTTGAAAGCATAACAAAATACATGGAGATTACTTCTTGGGGTGCATGTGAAGTTGCGATATTATTCTTTGTCCCCTTTAGTGGTAATGTACTTTTTCTCTTCATGAAAATAAGTTTAAAAAAAAAAAAGAAATAAGAAATGGAACGAACATCATTAATCAGTGTTTATTTGATCATCCAGTGTGTATGCCGTGGATACAGGCTTTCATTGTTTCTCTTTCTAGGTAAATGTCACTCGTGAAGACTCGCCAAGTGAAGACCCAGTCTTTCTTAGAACCTTAGGAAAAGGAGATTGGTTTGGAGAGAAAGCCTTGCAGGGGTAAGTAGATCACATGTTACAAAGATTTTGGTTGAATGCTACATAAATTTGTCTTACATATTGAGCTTCTAGCACAATAGGGTGTTTAGTGCTTATTCTACCGTCCGACACAGACCCTTGACGATCAATTTTATTTATTTCCAGCTGGACTTAGAATCTATTTGGGTAGGCTATGGAATTGAGCGGTTAATGTCTGTAATCAATCATTTTATATAATTTTATATCAATAGGAAAAATTCTCCTCAATTATAATCTCTACAAAGACTCTAAAAGAGAGGGAGAAGTCTCTGCTAAGCTTCTTTTGTACGACAGTTTTACTCGGAATCATAGGAAGGTGATTGGCTGAGAATTTTGACGTCTCCAAACCTGATTGTACAAACAATACATCAAAAGGCAATGAAGCCTTTCTGGGATTCACCTCTGGGTGGTGGTTTTCATCACTAGCTACGGTAGTGGAGGTGGAAGACGAGGTGCAGGTGAAGGTAAATCACATCCAGCTTCGCTGTGGATGAGCTCAGAAGGCATTTTACATACCATTTGTACTTTAATCTTTCTCTCTTGATTATTATATATGTAGAGGATTCTGGAGAATAATATCACCTGATTTCATTGGTCCAAGATTAGATGCCTGTGTGGAAAATGTCATTTCCAGCAGAGTCAAAGAACCAGAAACATTTCAGTCATTTCTGATTGAGGTCACAAGTGGAACACCAGAAAGTAAAACATAATTGAGAATTGACGGATTTTCTTTTGCAGCTTGTCGTCAGTGAATGTTGGTGCTAACTAAAGAAGGGTTTAGAGTAAAAACACCTTGCCAGAATGTGTCCCAGGAAGTGAACTTGGGGATATGGTTTACAGAAAAGTTACTAAAGTTTGCTCTGATATCAAAATTTAAGTTAATGGTATTACATCTAGATTGAATTCATTCTAGCATATGGTTATTCTTGTGAACTGTCTGGTACCAAATCTCTCTTTTGCACATATTCAGTCCTCTTCACTGGCCTTCCCTTCACCCCACCCTCACCATTTTCCATCATACCTACCCCCCAACCTACCTCCATCCCTCTTTCTCATGCCCTTTATGCTTATCTTCTCACCACTCAACCTGGCTTTATCAGCCTACTCTATGTGTGCCCTCTTAAACATCACTGGGGATTTGCTACTTACATCATAGAATTGTCTTTCTTTTCTGTCTTCATTTAACATCACTGCTCAGCCATAGTTTTACACTGTTGACCACCCCTTCCTTCTTTAGAATCCCCATCCTTTGAGACCCTTGCAATTATTAGCGAATTGTTAGCACTTTTTAGAATTTCTTATTTCATTTCCTAAAATTCACCATTGTTTTGTCCTCAGCTCTATCACATACATCTTGGTATACATCCAGATCTATGTCTGCCTATTATCTTGATGCAAAGAAATCCCAAATACTTATATGCTGATTTGAGCTCAGTATCTGGCACTTTTGAAATCAACGTGTATTTGTTGAATGAACGAATGAGTGAGTGAACAAATGAAGCTCCCTGATGATCCCCAATCTTGCAATTGATCACTTTCATGACTTGAGTTAGTTTGATGGTGCATAAGGGCTTATGAACTCACCTGACTACAGGGGGCAGCCTGGTAATGTATTGGGTTGGCCAGAATGTTCAGGTTTTTCCATAACGTTACAGAAAAACCCAAAGGAACTTCTTGGCCAACCCAATGTCAATGAGTAAAAATAAGGTGAGTAAAACTGGTGGCAAACTAGAAAGACTTATACAATTGAGCACATCAATTACTGAGCTCCAGCTCATTGCTATGCTGTTGTTTTTTTTTTTTTAAGAAACAGAAAAAACTGGGTTCTGAAAAAGATATGTGATTTTGTAACTTGATTTAAAAAAAAAAAGCTCTGCTAGCAAACACTTCTGCAAACGATTTTACCTGTGAGCTGCCATTTTGTCATTTATATCAATAGATATGCCTCTTTAAAACTCTGTAACTAGATTCCAACAAAGGAAGCCTGTTAGTTTTAGCCTTATTTGCTTGTTCTGATTATTTTTTGACATTTTAATGTTTTGCTGTTCTAGTCACTAACCTGTTTTTCACTGTGCGTCTCTGTGTTCTTTTTTTGATCTTTTCTTTGAATTTCAATGTCTCACACAAGAAATTCTGACTTTTCACAAATCAGATTGATTTGTTTCACTTGTTTCCCTACAAATAACTTAAAAATGTATGTAACTTTAGGTTATAAAGTCTTTTGAGCAACCATGTATATCCTTGTGAGTAATAGCTATGCTTCTTTGTACCTTATGATTTTTATCCTTGGAAGACACATTTTATAGTCAGCATTCTCTGTGTGGACATAACACGGCATTTCAGATTGTTGTTTTCTCACAAATAAAATTTATATGTACTGGGAATTTTTGTTTTATTTTCCTGAGGATGTTCAGCAGATCATTAAAATATTGACAGATTGATAATATTGAAATCAATCCTTGACCATTCTTTTTAAATTTGAGGGTGCCTAATACTAGTATTGATTAAACACACACAGTATATAATTGAATGACAGAGCTGAAATGTGACCTCAGTAACCAAACTCCAGAACTCCACTATGTAGTTCTGCCTCTAGAATTAACAAGATTCACTTCCTTGTTGGAAGGAGACCATAGTCATAAATCTAACTATCCTATAATCTACATTATTAACATTCACTAACCAATAGCATCTCATTACTAGAAAAATTTGATTTATTTATTGCTTTCACTTTTTTTGGTTGACATGAAACGAATTATTCAGTATTGTTGGCTTAAGCGTTCTTTTTTTTGCTGTGATAATGGTTTTTCCACACCAGAGAGAGGGCAAAATGTTTTACTCTTTTCAGAAGTACTCCTTTATATACAGGAAAACTAAAGTTGTGTTTAGGGAATTTACTTCAGGTTAAATCTAATAATTCATGAGTCAATCCATCTACACTAACATACCATTGCTTCAAGAGCTCTACCTGACTTGACACCACGTAGAATTCATACTGGCATCAGATAATGTCAAATTCTAAGCCAGATACACACCTCGCATCTGTAGTAATGGGAAATATATAAGCCCAAGTTGAACCTGAGAGAGACGGGATTGAGCTCCCACTTGCTCCCTCCCCCTTCCCCTAATGTTTGAGTCTTTAGCACAGCATATGGTTAAGAGTTCCAGCACAGAAGTCAGACTGCCTAGGTTGGGATGTACTCTGTAATTTACAGATTATGAGCCCCTGAGAGGCTCTCCTTTGATCTGAATGGAGATGGTGATTGTACCTAACTTTTTGGGTTGTTGTGAGGAATAATCAAGGGGATACTTACAAAGCATTCAGGTGAGTACCTAGAATTTAGATTAGTGCTCAAAAACGTTAGCTGCTATCATCACCACCACCATCATGTTTATTTTTATTTATCGTCATCATCATCCCCATTCCCAAGACTGTTCTGCTACTTCTTGACTACAGTTTAGCGCACTTGGTATAATTGACATAGCATTAAATTTTGAATCATCCACTCACTAAGCCAGCCAGTTAATCTCTCTGGGTCTGTTACTGAATTTGTAAACTGACCCAGTTGAAGTAGATGATCTCTAAGTTTCCTTAGGTCACGTGCCAAATGCAGCCCTGGGCCACCCTGTGGAATGGTGGCATTTGATAGCAGACCTCTGTCAGCAGGGCCCCTCCCTCCAGGAATTATCCCAGCTGTTGTCTATCATTCTGAACACCTTGGCCACATGTTAGGCCCTTCCTTGTTAATGCAAAAATGAATAAGCCAAGTCAGTTTAACAGACTTTGGTATTAGAAGTCATATTTCCATAGTTTCTCCTCTCATGGACTGTGATCTGGGCAAGTTAATTAACATTTTTTAACCTGTTTATTTTTTTTAATTAGTAAAATAGCACATAAAATCATATAACAAATACTGGGTACAACATTTTAATATTTTGCAATATTTGAACCTTATTAATACTCATTTATTTATTTGGAAATGAAATATTATAGATAGAATTCAAGCCTCTTTTGTATCCTCCCCAAGTACTTTCTCTCCCTCCCACTATCACCATCCTGTCCCTGTACCATAAAGATAGGAAAGAAAGAATTCAGATCTCTCAGTTGCAAGGCTTGGGTTTCTGTTTCTTTCAGGGAAAACCTCTTTGATGCTTAACTGGGACAACATAGAGAGTTATTTCTAAAGCTTGTGTTTTGTGTGAAGAAATACTCTAGGACTTATAAATGGCTCCGTCCCAGCTGCTTTTTTTTTTTTTTAACATCTTTTTTTGAGTGTAACTGCTTTACAATGGTGTGTTAGTTTCTGCTTTATAACAAAGTGAATCAGCTATACATATATGTATAGGGGACACAATTCAATCCCCTCCCTCTTGTGTCTCCCTCCCACCCTTCCTATCCCACCCCTCTAGGTGGTCACAAAACTCCTAGCTGATCTCCCTGTGCTATGTGTCTGCTTCCCACTAGCTATCTGTTTTACATTTGGTAGTATACATAAGTCCATGCCACTCTCTCACTTCATCCCAGCTTGCCCTTCCCCCTCCCCGTGTCCTCAAGTCCATTCTCTACGTCTGTGTCTTTACTCCTGTCCTGCCCCTACGTTAAAAAAAAAAAAAAAAAAAAAAAAGGTTCTGAAGAACCTAGGGACAGGCCAGCTGCTGTCTTGATAGGGTCATAGCAGGACTTCTTCACCCGCCCTTCATGAGCTCTCCTGCCAAGCTCCAGCTCATTTCTTTAACCTTAGGACTCCTCTCTATTTCCTGCACCTGAGACTTTTAGGGTTTTTCTTCTTTTGTTTCTTTGTCTTTTGTAGTGAGGATTATAATTAATATGGTTTTAGTGAAGATTATTCTTATGAGGATTATAATGGATTATCTATGTAAAATGTAACAGAATGTCTAGTGGGATTTTTTTCCCTGTTGTCCTGGATTTGTGGCTAAGGTCCAAAGCCCAAAATCTGTCAGTACTTAGGGCCAGCTTCTTT